AAGTCAGGTAATGTGATGTTCAGGGTATCTGAGTCTTCCTGATTTAAGCTAGGAGGATTGTATCTTTCCTGGTATTTATCCATCTCCTCTAGGTTTTCTAGTTCAGGCAAGTAAAGGTGTTCATAGTAGCCTTGAATGATCTTTTGTATTTTTGAGATGTCAGTTGTAATATCTCCCATTTTGTTTCTAATTGAGCTTATTTGGATTTTCTCTTTTCTTTGCTTGGTTAATCTTGCCAATGGTCTATCCATTTTATTTATCTTTTCAAATAACCAGCTTTTTGTTTCATTTATTTTTTGTATTTCTTTGTTTGTTTCCTTTTCATTTAGCTCTGCTATGATCTCGGTTATTTTCTTTCTTCTGCTGGGTTTGGGTTTGGCTTGTTCTTGGTTCTCTAGTTTTATGAGGTGTGAAGTTCAGTTATCTATTTGTGCTCTTTCAGACTTTTCGATGTAGGCATTTAGGGCTATGAACTTTCCTCTTAGCACCGCCTTTGCTGTATCCCAGAAGTTTTGATAGGCTTTGTCACTATCGTCATTCAGTTAGAAGAATTTTTAAATTTTCATCTTGATTTCATTGTTGACCCAAATAATCGTTCAGGAGCAGGTTATTTAATTTCCATGTATTTGCATGGTTTCAAAGGTTCTTTTTGGAGTTCATTTCCAGTTTTATTCCACTGTGGTCTGAGAGGTGCTTGATATAATTTCAATTTTCTTAAATTTATTGAGGCTCATTTTGTGGCCTATAATATGGTCTATCTTGGAGAAAGTTCCATGCACTCATGAACAGAATGTATATTCTATGGTTGTTAGGTAGAATGCTCTGTAAATATCTGTTAAGTCCAGGGTATAGTTTAAATGCATTGTTACTTTGTTAACTTTCTGTCTTGATGACCTGTCTAGTTCTGTCAGTGGAGGATTGAGGTCCCCCACTATTATTGTGTTGTTTTCTATCTAATTTCTTAGGTTTAGTAATAATTGTTTCGTAAATTTGGAAGCTCCAATGTTAGGTGCATAGATATTTAGGGTTGTGATATTTTCCTGTTGGACAAGGCCTTTTATCAGTTTGTAATGTCCCTCTTTGTCTTTTTTAACTGTTTTGCTTTAAAGCTTGTTTTGTCTGATATAAGAAAAGCTTCTCCGGCTAGCTTTTGGTTTCCATTGGTGTGAAATGTCTTTTTCCCCTCCTTTACCTTAAGTTTATGTGAGTCCTTATATTAGGTGAGTCTCTTGAAGGCAGCAGATAGTTGGTTGGTGAATTCTTATCCATTCCGCAATTCTGTATCTTTTAGGTGGAGCATTTCGGCCATTTACATTCAACATTAGTGTTGAGGTAACTATCATTCTATTTATCATGTCATTTGTTGCCTGTATATCTTGAGTATTTTTAAAATTGTGTTTTTGTTTATAGGTCCTGTGAGATTTATGCTTTAAAGAGGTTCTGTTTTGATGTGTTTCTAGGATTTTTTTAAAGGCAGCTCTTTTCTCGTAGTGCTGGCTTGGTAGTGACAAATTCTCTCAGCATTTGTTTTTCTGAAAAAGACTGTATCTTTCTTTTATTTATGGTGCTTAGTTTCACTGGATACAAAATTTTTGGCTGATAATTATTTTGTTTAAGGAGGCTGAAGATAGGGCCCCAATCCCTTCTAGCTTGTAGGGTTTCTGCTGAGAAACCTGCTGTTAATCTGATAGGTTTTCCTTTTTAGGTTACCTGGTGCTTTTGCCTCACAGCTGTCAAGATTCTTTCCTTCATCTTAACTTTAGACAACCTGATGACAATGTGCCTAGGCAATAATCTTTTTGTGATGAATTTTCCAGGTGTTTTTGAGCTTCTTGTATTTGGATGTCTAGGTTTCTAAAAAGACTGGGGAAGTTTACCTTGATTAGTCCTGAAATTTGTTTTCTAAACTTTTAGATTTCTCTCATTCCTCACGAATGTCAATTATTCTTTGATTTGGTCATTTAACTTAATCCCAAACTTCCTGGAAGTCTTCTTTTTTTTTTTTAAATATTTTCTTATTCTTTTTTCTTTGTCTTTGTTGGATTGAGTTATTTTGAAAACCTTGTCTTTGAGCTCTGAGGTTCCTTCTCTTGCTCACTTGCTTCTATTGCTAAGATTTTCCAGAGCATTTTGAATTTCTATAAGTGCCTCCATGCGTTACTGAAGTTTTGATGGCTTTTCATTATATGCAATATATTTCATTGAAAATTTCTCCCCTTTTTTTTCTTTTTGTGTTATTTTTCTTTTTTTTTTATTTCCTTAAATTGGGTGTTGCCTTTTTCTGGCACCTCTTTGATTAGCTTAATAACTGACCTTATGAGTGCTTTTTCAGGTAAATCAGGGATTTCTTCTTCTTTTGGATCCATTACTGGTGAGCTAGTTGATTTTTGGGGGGTGTTAAGGAGCCTTGTTTTGTTGTATCGCCAGAATTGGTCTTCTGCTTCCTTCTTATTTGGGTAGGCTCTGTCAGAGGGAAGGTCTAGAGCTCAAGGCTGTGGCTCAGATTCTTTTGTCCCATAGGTTGTTCCCTTGATGTAGTACTCTCCCTGTTTTCCTAGGGATGTGTCTTCCTGAGAGCTGAGCTTTAGTGATTGTTATCTCTCTTCTGGATTTAGCCACCCAACAGGTCTACCAGGCTCTGGGCTGGCACTGGGGGGTTGAGGTTTTCTGCACGGAGTCTTATGATAGGAACCATCTGTAAATCTTCCAGCCATGGATACCAGCACTTGCTCTGGTGGAGGTGGCAGGGGGTGAAATAGACTCTGTGAGGGTCCTTAGTTTTGGATGTTTAATTCACTGTTTTTGTGCTGGTTGGCCTCCTGCTGGGAGGTGGCACTTTCAAGAAAACATCAGCTGTGGTAGTATGGGGAGGATCAGGCAGTGGGTGGGGCCCTAGAACTCCCAAGAGTATATGCCCTTTGTCTTCAGCTACCAGGGTGAGTGGGGAAAGATCATTAAGTGGGGTCAGTGCTAGGCATCTCTGAGTTCCGACTCTCCTTGAGTGGGTCTTGCTGTTGCTGTTGTGGGGGATGGGGGTGTGGTTCCCATGTTAATGGAGTTATGTTCACAGGAGGAGTATGCTGCCTCTGCTGTGTGTGCAGGTTGTAAGGGAAGTGAGGGAAAACCAGCAATTACAGGCCTCACCCAGCTCCCACACAACCCAAAGGGCTAGTCTTACTCCCACTCAACAGCACCAAGTCTGTTTCCAGGTGGTGGGTGAGCAGGGCTGAGAACTTGCCCCAGGCTACCAGCTTCCAAGCTGTGAAAGCAAGTAGGCCCTTTGTGCTTCCCTGTCTGTGATCTGCACACTGGATTCACACCCTCCCCAGAGTTCTGGCCAGGAGACTTCTTGTTCAGTTGCAATTGTTACAAAGTTCAGCTGGAGGTTTCTTCTCCCTGTGGCCTTTTCGTGTATCTGGTATCCCTCCCCCAAAACCCGGTGAGGCAAGGCAGAAATAGCTTGCTAGGGGACCCAGAGAGCCCACAGGGATTTTCCCACTGCTTCCTCGACCCCTGCGTTTCACTCGGCTCTCCAAATTGACTTAGCTCCAGGTAATGTCAGAATCTTCTCCTGTGATCTAGACCTTGAGATGCCCCAGTGTGATTGTGTGTTTGAAATAAATGATGCTCCTTTCCCACTTCCACAGTTTGGGCACTCACAGTATTTGAGGTGTCTCCCAGGTCCTGCAGGAGCAATTTGCTTCAGAGGGTCTGTGGGTTCTCGCGGCTTTCCTGATTTATTCCTCCAGTCACTCTGGAGCAAAAGTTCGTGAAAAAAAGAGTCCATATTCTGCTCTGTCTGTCTGAGTGGGAGCTACAGTCTAGTCTTGTTTCCTGTCTGCCATGATCCTCTCAGAGAGATATTAGCTTTGACACTTGTCTATGTGGATGAAACAGTCACAGGATATCTTAATTTCTATTTTAGTATTCTTCATATATTTTCTGCATTCATTTGCATGTCTGCCTTACCAGGAACTTCACACGGCACCATGCTTTGTAATTACCATGTTCTGAGTGGCTACTAAGTGACAAATATTTATGTGCTTTATGTGGCTTGACTTACATACCCTTCTGAGCAGCTGTATAAATTTCATCTTCTTATTTTCATTTCCAGGTCTAGGAAATGAAGGCACAGTGAGATAAATTAAGTTGCCCAAAGCCATATGGCAATTAAGACTTGAACTCTAAAAGGGTTTTATTTTTAACTTTATTGAATGAATTAATTTTTTTGAGACAGGATCTTGCTCTGTTGCCCAGGTTGGTGTGCAGTGGCATGATCACAACTCACTGCAGCCTCAACCTCCTGAGCTCAAGGGATCCTCCCACCTCAGCCTCCCAAGTAGCTGGGATAACAGGAAGATGAGACCATGCCAGACTAATTTTTTATTTTTAGTAGAGATGGGAGTTCTAGGGCCCCACCCACCACCTGATTTTTTGCCAAGGCTGGTGTTGAACTCCTGGGCCCAAGCAGTTTTTCCACCTCAGCATCCCAAAGTGCTGGGATGACAGGCTTGAGCCACAATGCCCAACCTGTTTTGTTAATTTCTAAGTGCCCTGCATCTGTCCTAAGGAGTGTGGCATAGTCCTTGATATTGGATAACTAGTAAGGCAGGGTATTTTGTATGAGAAGTGCAGTAACCACATAGTGAATGGAAGATGATGCTGTAGACTTGCCCGTGGTTCAGAGCTGGGACACTGCTTACCAGGACGCAACTTCCAGAATGGCTGACTAAAACTAGAAAATGCAGACTCCACTGGGACTTTGTGTTTCTGCTTTTTTAAATGGGAAAATTAATTCTGTCATTTACTTTCAGAGAATTAGTGGGAGTGACATAAAATTGTTGATAAAAATCTTTGGAAGTATCAGTGAGGGGATCTGCCAGCATTGATGAAATTATTTCATTCATAAACTGTCTAAGGGCCCAGGGCAGAGAACAGTGACATGGAATCTCCTTTCCTTGAGATCTTATAATCACACCTGCCTCCTTACCTCCATCCAGGTCTGTTAAAAAAACTCCAAAAACAGGGATTTTTAGGCCCACTTGCACTTAGCCTCCTCTTCCCACCTCCTATTCATCTCCATTTCTGATGTTCCACTGCCCTCACTGCCAGGAAGTTCTGCAGAGAAGAATGAAGAAGAACTTTATGATCTTAACAATGTTCTCCAAAGATATTATCAGCCCACTATCAGCCTTATTTATTGGTATGTTTCTATAGCCTTTATTTGACACCTTTTCCCATCATTTAAAAGAAATCTGGTGCTTCCTTGAATAATTTCTTGAGATTTGTGCATGTCTCCCAGCATCATTTGTCCTTTTAACAAGCACATTCCTTCCACTGCTCATGGCCAACTGGGGTTCACTACAATCATGGAATCCATGTCTTGCAACAATCAAGTTTATATCAAACTCGAATTTATTTATTTACTTATTTATTTTATTTATTTGTTTTTGAGACAGAGTCTCACTCTGTCAAGTGGCGCAATCTTGGCTCACTGCAACCTCCACCTCCTGGGTTCAAGCTATTCCCCTGCCTCAGCCTCCCGAGTAGCTGGGACTACAGGCACATACCACCATGCCTGGCTAATTTTTTGTGTTTTAGTAGAGACAGGGTTTCACCCTGTTGGCCAGGATGGTCTCGATCTCCTGAGCTCGTGATCCACCTGCCTCAGCCTCCCAAAGTGCTGGGATTACAGGTGTGAGCCACTGCACCTGGCCCTTGTTTATTTGCTGAGACAGTTTTGTTCTTGTTGCCCAGGCTGGAGTTCAGTGGTGTGATCTCAGCTCACTGCAACCTCGGCCTCCGAGGTTCAAGCGATTCCCCTGCCTCAGCCTCCTGAGTAGCTGGGATTACAGGAACGTGCCTGTAATTTTTTTGTATGTTGAGTACAGACAGGGTTTCTTCAAGTTGGTCAGGCTGGTCTTGAACTCCCAATCTCAGGTGATCTGTCGCCTTGGCCTCGCAAAATGCTAGGATTGTAGGCATGAGGCACCACACCTGGCTGAATTTATTTTTTGTTTCTGAGAACTGTAATTTCACTTCAAGGTCTATACTGTACCCAACAGAGCTGCATGCCTGTTTACTGAAAACACGTCCTAGAATATTCACAACATTGCTATTACTGATGCCCTCAAACTGGAAACTACTCAAATTCCAGAGAGTAGAATGGATGAATGAATTGTAGTAATATTTATTGAATACAATACAAGACAACACAACACAATATAATATAATACAATAATGATAATAAATTTACTGGAACTATATTGAAGAAGGATGAATCTCACAGACATTATGTTGACTGAAATGAACCAATCACGGAAGTGTATATATTCCATAATTCTGCTATAGAAAGTTCAAAGAACAGGCAAAACCAATGCACAATGTCAGAAGCTGGGATCTCATTTACCCTGGGGTAGGGGATGGAGTATTGGCCGGAAGTGGGAGTGATGAGTCCCTCTGCCATTTTTGTTGCATTCTCTTTATATGGGTGCTGGTTTTGAGAGTGTGTTCACTTTGTGAGAATTCATTGAGCTGTAAACTTATGACTTACGTAAATTTTTTTGTATGTATGTTTTTATAAAACTTACAGAAAACAAAGAAGAAATACATTGGCATACATTGGTTGGACTCTATTCTGTGCTATCTTGGAAAATGTTGATTGAAGACAGCTAGTCCTTAGCATACTCCCTGACCTCCTGCAATCTAAGCTCTGGATCCTGGTCAACTTTGGGAGAATAATCAAGCCAATTTTCAGAGAAGCAATTTCTGTGTCTTTCAGGTCCTTGTGTTCCATAGGATTAGGAGCATTAGGGACCTGGTTTCATTGTGATCCTGACTGCCCATCCGTTCTCTCGTCATCATTTGAAGAAATACCAGGCACCTGAATTCATCTGCACAAACAGAGCTGACCGGGCTACCTGCTGCCCGCCATCCTGTTGTCTTTCTTGCATTGTTCTGGGACTCTGGCCATACACACCTTCCAAAATAACTGTGCAGTTGTCATCATTGTTTAGGAGACTATTTTGGAACACTGGCTTAGCTTGGTGATGTGTGGGGATCCAGGAAGGGCCCCAGCTGTTGGGAGGGAGGCCCAGGGCTATCAGGGAGCTGGGGGTGGGTAGGAAGTGACAGGGACTGGGCTGCAGGAGGTGCAGTGGGGCCCACAGGGAGGACCATTTCTGACACGTGTTTGGTCTTGGTGTGGAGAATTGGAAAGAAAGAGGAGAAAGGATGGGGTGATCAGGTGCAGGTGGGAGGAAAACTGGAAGGGGAGAAAAGAGTGAAGGAACATTAGATTGATTGGTGCTGGTGGAAGAGGTAAGGAGAGACATTGTTCAGAGAGGAGGGGCTGGGAAGTGAGGGTGTGAGTTGAAGGGCACTAATGGTACGCTGACATATTTTTTAAAGAGTGGTTTCTACAGCCTGGAGGACTTGAGGACAGCTGTTGGGAACCTTCTACGAGGTGATGGAAAAGTGTAATTGGGAGCAAGGGGGTGTGATGATTGACAGACAGCCTAAAGTTGAGTCAGGTGACATCCTGCCATCTTTAGCAATGTAATAGGTGGTCAGATGAGCTCACAGTATCCAGGGTGGGGGGCGGGGGGTGGCAGAACCATATCACAGGGATTGCGACAGAGGAGCTGGATAGATGTGTTCTCAGGGGGCAAAGGTGGAATTCCCTTCTCTTTTTTGTTTTCTCTTGGTGTCACAGGCCTGCAGAAACATCACACCATGAATTAAAATCCCTCAATTGCACGGGTTTTTGCACCCCCATGACTTCACAGGGTCTCTAGCTCTTTCAAAGTCAGCAGCAAGACAAGGGCAAAGCCTGGGTTCTCGTGGGAGTGTTTCATGTGCTTGTGTACAAATTAGCCCCTACAGGGACTGTGCATCTCCATGTAACTCTGCTGGGCACTGGGGCCATGTGCTCTGTTGGTCTATGGGAACTCTCCCCAGTTATAGTTTAAGAGAGGGGTTTTCAAAAAGGGATGCTAATGTCCCAGGATTTTATGGAATTTAAGTAAAACTTCTTTTTTCTGTTGTACTCAGAATGTTCTAAAGCTTTGTTCCTAGGTCGCCTCACAGTGCATGGATTCTTTCCTTTCTCTTTTAGACACAGGGTTTTGCTGTCTCGCCCAGACTGGAGTGTAGCAAGTATTCACAAGTGCGATCATAGTATACCTCAGCCTCCTGGGCTTAAGCAATCCCCCTGCCTCAGCCTCCTGAGTAGCTGGGACCATAAGGAGAAGCCCATGCCAAGGTTCAGTTCTTCTTTCCTACAATGAGTTATGGTCCAGAAAATTTTCTAACTCACCCCCACCCTTCACTCCACAGAAGGACTTCCACTGGGATTCCAGCCAGCATGCCAGGCTCACTTGAATCCCTGGGATGAATCCAGCCTCAGTTGAAGTGCAGATTACTGCTTCATCTCAGAGCCTGGCCATATTGAGGAGCAGACGGTTTTACTCGTCTGCCTGCTGGCCTCTTGCTCCATTGTCTAGGCCTGTCCTTTCTCACCTAGTGTCCTAATCCCCTCCTCACCACCTCACAACAGAGAAAGCTCTCGTTCTGTGTTGCTTTCTCTCAGGATTTTCATGCTTTTTAAAAGAGCCAGGGCACGGTGTGCTTTCATGCAGGACCTAAGCAAATAAGGACATCTCAAGGAGATGCCCAAGTCTTACCCTGGTGCCCACCCACCATCCTGGAGAGGACAGTTCCTGTTCATAGTGTCCATGATTGTTTATGTCAAAGATCCAGGGAGTTTGCAAAAACCTCTTAGAACTAATAAGTAAGTTTAACAAGGTTGCAGGACATAAGGTTAATATATACACACACACAAATCAATTATATTTCTATACATCAGCAAATTAGGATTCTCTAGGGGAACAGAACGAATAGGATACACACACACACACACACACACACACACACACACACAAATATACCCAGGCGTATATATGTGAGAGGTACACACACACGTGTGTGTGTGTGTGTGTGTGTGTGTGTTTAGAAAGAGAGAGAGAGAGAGAGACAGAGAGAGAGATTGGTTAATTTTAAGGAATTTGCTTGTGTGATTGTAGGGGCTGGCATTTGATTTCTACAGAGCAGCCTGGAAGGCCGGAGATCCAGGGAAGAGCTGATGTTGGAGCTTGTGTCTGAAGGCTGTCTTCTGGTAGAATTCCCTCTTCCCCAAGGAACCTCAGTCTCTTTTCTCAAGGCCTACAACTGATTGGATGAGGCCCACCTACATTATGGGGTGTCATCTGCTTTACTCAAAGTTGATGGATTTAAGTGTTAATCACATCTAAAACATTTCTTCACAGCACCATCTATACTGGTGTTTGACCCCAAACTGTCTACTATGGTTTGGCCAAGTTGACACATGAAATTAGCCACCAAAACCATAAATATGTGATTGGAGAACAAAATTGAAAATCAATACCACATAGAAAGTACCAAAAAATGAAATAGGTAAACATGACTGCAAGCTACAAAATGCCCATGAAAAAACTCAAAGAAGATATAAACAAATAACAAGAAATACCATATTTGAAGATTGGAAGACTTAACATTAAAAAGTTGCCAATTCTGCCAAAACTGATATAGAGATTTAATACAATTCCAGTCAAAATCTCACCAGGACATTTTGTTGGTATTGACAAGCTGATTTTAATGTTTACATCAAAAGGCCAATACTAGAATAGCTAAAACAACTCTGAAAAATAAGAATAATGGTATAGGAATCATGCTACCCAGTTTTAAGACCCACTACAAAGTTACAGTAATCAGGACAATATGGTACTGCATGGGAACACAGAGATCAGTGGAACAGAACGGAGTCCAGAAAGACAGCTGCTTAAATATGGCCATGTAATTTTTGACAAGGTTGCAAAGATAATTCAATGAAGAAAGAATCATCTTTTCAACAAATGATGTTAGAACAACTGAACATTCATATAAACAAACAAAAAACAACAGACAAAAGAAAACTGACTGACCCCTTACAGCTCATACACAAAAAAACTCAACATGGATAATAGATGTAAATGTAGAAGTGAGGCTCTAAAATTTTTAGAAAAGAACATAGTATAGAATCACTTCCTGGGATTGGGAAAAGAGTTCTTAGACATGGTACTATAAGCACAATTCATAAAAAAAACAGATTGATAAATTGGTCTTTATCAAAATTGAAAGACTTTACTCTGTGAAAGATGCTACTAAGAGAATGAAAACACTATAGCCTGGGAGAAAAAAATCTGCAAGTCACATCTGTCACTGGCTTTTGCAGAATATATAAATGGGAAATAAAACACAAAAAGATGTTCAATATCATTAAGCATTAGAAACTTGCAAACTGAAATCACGCAAACCTATTAGAATTGCTGAAAAAAGGAAAACCTTTGGTAATATCAAGTGCTGTTGAGAATATAGAGCGATTGCAATTTCCAGAATGCAATCTGGAAAAGTTTGCAATTTCTTATAAAATTAACATGCGTTTGTCATATAACCCAGAAACCCTACTTCCTAGAGAAGTGACACTTACGCTTACATAAAAACCTGTATGTAAATGTTCTATTGACAATTCTATGATTATCTGATGTTCTATTCATAATTGCTCCAAGCAAATATCCTTCAACAGCTTAATGAACAGGTAAAGGGATAAAGAAGTTGTGGTATATCCATACAATGAAATACTACAGGAATAAACTATTTACACATGCAGCAACTGAGCGCTTTCCATGGCATGATGCTAGGGGAAGGAAGTAGTCTCAGAAGTTTACATACTGTATTTCTCATTTTTCAGAAGATAAAATAGTGATGGAAAATAGATCTGTGGTTGCCAGGAGTTATGGATGGGAGAGGCTGTGGTTATAAAGGGCAAACATGAGGGAGTTTTTGGGGGTGTGATGGCACTATTTTGAATCCTATTGTGGCAGTGCTTACATGAATCTATACATGTGTAAAAATTACAGAACTTTACACCAAAAAAATAAATCGTTTTGTAATTTTTCTTTTAAGATAGGGTCTTATTCTGTTGTTCAAGCTGGAGTGCAGTGGCGCAATCATGGCTCCCTGCATCCTCGACCTCCTGGGCTCAGGTGATTCTCCCGCCTCAGCCTCTTAAGTAACTGGGACTACAGACATGTGCCACCATGTCTGGCTCATATTTTATATTTTATGGAGATGGTTGTCCAAGCTGGTCTCAAACTCCTGGGCTCAAGTGATCCATCTGTCTTGGCCTCAAAGTGTGTGAATCACTGTGCCTGGCCTGTATGATGATTTAAAAAATAATATTAATAAAATTATAGAGGATAAGCATTGGATTCTGAATATGGGCCTTGAGTTCCTCCTTGGTAAGATGAAGCTGATGATCTATAATCTGTGCATTCACAATCAAAATGCTGACCCAGCCTTGTGCCTCTGTTCTGAGACTTACATATTTTGATCTGCTTTCTTGCTTTAGATCCATTATGACTGAAAAAGACTTTAAAATTTTGCTTTTCCATCCCGGAAATGACAGTTCCCAAACTTTCTCTCAAGCTGCTCAGCATGGGCCTCCAGCTCTGCTCTGCACACTCTGATAGCAGAGTGCTTTTTTCCACCCCCAGTTTTTGAAATACGACTTCCATACAGTATAATACATAGATCTGAAATATATAATTTGATGAGCTTTGGCAAATGTATACAGTGATGTGTTCGTACATGTTTTACAACTGGCTCTCTGGTGGGATAAAAAAGTCCTGCTTTGTAGTGTTTGCCAGTTTCTGGGGTATAAATATTTCCACCACGGTGGATTCCAAGCTATTAATGTGATGTTGACTTGCTTGCAAACATCCTGAAAAATTAACAGTTCACTCCCTTAATGGAGCCAGCAGGCTTCAGCATACCACTGCCTGTACATAACAGTGCAGCCAGCGCCCAGATTAACATTCAGGACATGCCCATCACCCCACAAGTTCGCTAGTGGCCCTCTTCAGTCAGTCCCCACCCCTGTCCTGTGCTGACACGATTCTGATTTCTACCGCCATCAATTTGATTTTCATATTCTAGAACTTTATGCAAATACTGTGTGTGTGTGTGTGTATATATATATATATATATATATATGCCTGACTTTTTATTTTTACCTTAGATATGAGAGTCCCTCCTACTGTGTCTATCTTTTTCATTGCCCAGTAATATTTCATCGTATGGATGTACTATTGTTGATTCTCTTTTAGTCAGCATTTGGGTTGTTTAAAGTTGTGGGTTTTTCTGAGTAATCTTGAAAGTACTTGAGTGGCTATAAAAAAAGAGGTCCTAATATTCCTGGCAAAACTTTCTTCTGGAAAGAGGGAATAGATCCTGAAGCTTCAGATTTTACTGGTGATAATGAAAGAGCATCTTTGAAAGTGTCTAGCATGTGGCAGACATTCAATAAATGTTAGTGGAGTCTCACTTTGGCAGAATTCTGTTTCTAGGATCTGTGCCCAGAAATAGATTGTCTTTTAGAGAAAGGTCAGAATCAGCCATTCTAGAGAAAATTTAAAAATACCTCAGAGAGATTCCATCTTCTCATTTGATAAATCCATTTCAGAAATGTGGGGAGTTGGGAGAGACAGCATGGGGAGAAATGCCAGATATAGGTGATGGGGAGGAAGGCAGCAAATCACACTGCCATGTATGTACCTATGCAACAATCTTTCATGTCCTTCACATGTACCCCAAAAACCTAAAATGCAATACAAAAAAATAAATTAAAACAGAACTATCATTCAACTCAGCACTCCTATTACTGAGTATATACCCAAAGGAAAATAAATTGTTCTACAAAAAAAGAGAAATATTTCACAATTCTAATAATTAAAAAATGTCTATGTGATGTTTTTATGTTATACTTTAAAGCCTACCTATTACACATATTATCTGATTTACTTCATACACATTTAAATTTTATTTTATACACATTATTTTATTTAACTTTTGCTACAATGCTGCAAGGTAAATACACGTTTACTTTTACAGATGAGGACAAAGGAGGCTCAGACATGCTAAGTCACTTTCCAAGCTCGCAAAGGTAGTGAGAATTTGATCGCGGTTGCCTGACTCCAAAATGCATGCGTTTTCCTCAGCAATGTGCAGCCCCACCATGTTCACACCTCAGTGCACACAGGAAGCACATATTATTCAGATCATCGCTACCCATTTTTCTTTCATCCACGTTTTTCCAGCGAGCAAAACATTTTGTATTGTCACTTTCTTCGTTTCAGAAGTACACTTTGAATAGGCTCAATACAGCCTGATTTAAGCAAGCAAAGGGCAAGTCCTTACTTACAATGTGATAGAGTATTCGGCAGATGGCGCTGTTTCCACACGAGTGTAGTGGCGGCCACACGCGTTATGCTGCCAGGGGGCGTCGCGTTCTGCCGAGAAGCGTGCCTGCCTGGAGCGCGCCTGCCACCTGCCCAGCGCCGGCTGCGACTGCAGGGCCCACGCCTCCGTCGCGGTGCGTTCTTTCCCTCCAGGTGGGACGCTGCAGGCCCAGCCGTTCCCTGTGCCTGCAAACAGCCAGAGCTCTCACATGGATAGGCTGCTGGACCAAGCTCAGTCCGGGAGGCCAGCTTCTACAGCTTCTGCTCAGCTATCCCGGACAGCACGGGACTGTGCACAGCCTCCCCTAAACCTCATTCTTTGCAAGGGCAAAGGGAGCAGAGAGGCGTGCGCCTGTTCTTGCCAAGTTAGCACCGAGAAAGTTTCATCAGGGAGAGGCAGGGGCCTCCGAGCCTCGGCAGAGGTGAATGTTGGCAGCCCGTGGCCTGAGACATTGAGTCCGGAATATCTTCCCCCAACCGCCTCATCCAACGGCCCCGGGGCAGGAGGGATCCCTGCAGGCGCAGCAGCGTCGTAGGCCCCAGGTCACTCCAGCGGGAACCCAG